TAGATGCCTGAAATCATGCATAGTACCAAACCCTATATATAGTATTTTCTTTTTCCTGTAGGTACACTAATTTTCACTTAAAGGGAGCACTTTATGGCTTCACTACTGTGCAGCATCACTACTCTTGTGCTTGGGGCTATTATTAAGTAAAATAAGGGTTAATTGGAAACAAGTTCTGACATAGCCTGACAGTGGATCCCATAACCAGACGGGGCTACTAAGTCACTAACCAGGCAGGATATGTGGGGCAAAGGGAGGATTTATATTGAGGGCAGGATGGAGTGGCACTGTGAGATTTCCTTGTTACTCAGAAGGGTGTAAAATTAGAAATTATGAGTTATTTATTTCTGGAATTATCCATTTAATGTTTTTGGACCGCAGTTGACTGCTGGTAACTGAATGTGAAATGACAGATGGTGGGGTGGGATGGAGGGGCTACTGTATCTTAGTTGGTAAAGTATCTCTTTAAGATTTTTGACATTTAAAAATCGGGTTGTTTTGCACTGGCCAGTTTGGCTCAGCGGTTAGAGCGTCGGCCTGTGGTCCAGAGGACCCGGGTTCGGTTCCCGCTAAGGGCGTGTACCTCGGTTGCAGTTTGTCTCTGGCTCTGGTTAGTCGTGCAGGTGGCAGCCACTCGATGTGCCCCTGTCATGTCGATGTTTCTCTCTTTCTCTCCCTCCCTCTCTCTCTGAACAAAAAATGGAAAACGTCCTCGGGTGAGGATTAAAAAAAAAAAAATTGGGTTGTTTTTAGTGTGATTCCTATAACTTTTTTATTCTTTTTCAAAATGTTTTTTTAAAAATATTTAAGGCATTCTCTTTCCATATATATTTTACAATCAGCTGTCTTTACCTATAAACCAATCTTGCTGGGGTTTTTTAATTGGAATTTTATTAAATCTGTCAATTAATTTAGGGAAACATTGACATCTTTTTTTATGTGGCGCCTTTCAGTTCATGACTATGGTATGTCTGTTGTATTATTTTTTTTACTACTGTAATAAATTACCAGAACCTAGTGCTTTCAAACAACATCCTCTTATTATATCACAGTTCCCGTGAGTCAGAAATCCAGGTACAGGGTAGCTTATCTGGTCTTTGCTTAGGGTCGCACAAGGCTAAAGTCAGACTGTCCACAAGGCTGTGCTTCTTTCTGGAAGCCGTGGGGAAGAATACACTTCCAAAGTTGGTGGCAGAATTTTATTTCTTGAGGTTGTAGGCCTGAGGTTTCCTACTGACGGTCAGCTGCAAGTCTCTCTCAGGCCACCTGCATTCCTTGTCACACTGCTACTCTTGTCTTTAAATCTCAACGGCCTTTGGAGTTCTTTTCTTGCTTTGCTTTTCTATGGTCTGTCCTTCTGCTGTATCACTCTGACTTTAACCAGAGAAAGTTATATGCCTTTGAGGGCTCGTGTGATAGATTGGGCTCGCTTGAATAATCCAGTATAATCTCCCTATTTTAAGGTTCATAACTTTAATTATATTTATAACATCCCCTATGCACAGTAAGGTAATATAATAGATCCCAGGGATCTAAGGCATGGGGCCATTCTGCCAACCACATATTTCCATTTGTGTAGGTCTTCTTTGATTTCTTTTATCAATATTTTATTTTTTTAAATTTGTTTTTATTGATTTTTAGAGAGAGAGAAAGGGAGAGGGAGAGAGATAGAAACATTGATGAGAGAGAAATATTGATAGACTGCCTCCTGCATGCCACCACCTGGGGATTGAATCCACAACCCAAACCAATTCCCTGACTGGGTATTGAACTGGCGACCTCTTTGTGCATGGGCTGACACTCAACCACTGAGCCACACCAGTCAGGTCTTTTGTCAACATTTTATAGATATCAGCATTTAGATTTTATAAAAGCTTGATTAGACTTGTAGATAAGCATTTCATTTTTGTTTTAGGTATTGTAACCAATCTTATAAAAAAAATGTTTCCTGTTTTACATTGCTAGTATATATTAATAAGTTTAATTTTTGTGCATTGACTACATATTCTGTCACTTTACTTATTTAGTTCTATTTTTAACAGATTCCTTAAAGTTGTTTTTGTGTGTGTGTTGAAAATTATGTCATCTGTGAATAGCTTATTGCACTGAGTAAGACTTGGGGAATGCGTTGAACAGTAAGAATGAACATCCTTGCCTTGCTCCTGATCTTACTGGAAAAGCATTCAACATGTGATGTGATGTTAGCTGTAGGTTTTTTGTAGATGTTCTTTATTGGTTTCAGGAAGTTCCCTTCTATTTTTAGTTTGCTGAGAGTTTTTATGATGAATGAATGTGGAATTTTGTCAATGTTCTTCCTGCATAAATTGATAGGATTTGATCATTTTCTTCCTCAGACTTTTCAAGTACTGAAACTAGCCTTGCACTCTGGAATGAACTCTGCTTGGTCGTGGGCTGTCTATAAAGTTCATGTGTGTTCTCTGTGGCAGGTTTTATAATCGGAGTAATGTCTCATAAAGAGAATTGGTAACTGTTTTGCCATCTTCTACTTTCTGGAAGAGCTTATATAGAATTGATGTTATTTAGTTTTTAAATGTTTGATTGAATTAATCAATGAAACCATCTAGAGCTTGAGGATTTATTTTTTGGAAGGTTACTAACTGTGAATTTAATTTCTTTTAATAATAATAAGAACAATGAAATGATCTATTTTTGGTGAGCTTGTGTAGTTTGTGGTTATTAAGATGTTGGTCCATTTCATCTAAATTGTGGAATTTATGTGCATAAGGTTTTGAGCTTTGCCTTGTTGCCATTTTAATGCCTGTGTAACCAGCAGTGAAACATCCTCATTCATTCCTGGTATTAGTAATATATGCTTTTTTTTTTTTTCCTTCTTGGTTCACCCAGCTAGAGGTTTAGCCATTTTATTCTTCTTTTCAAAGTACCAGCTTTTACTTTTATTATTTTTTCTGTCTTAAAATTGTTGCTCTCTAGTCTTCATTATTTTCTTCATTTGGTTTCTTTTATCAGCATTTTATAATAATAGAAATATCAGCATGCAGATCTTATACAGGTTTGGTTAGACTTTTAGCTAAGCATTTCATTATTTTTTTCTTCTTTTTCCAAGTTCTTATATTAGAAGATTAGATTATAGACTTGAAGTCTTTCTTCTTTTCTAATGTAGACCTGTGATGCTACAGATTATCCTGTACACACTCCTTCAACTGTATCCCACATGTTTTGATATGTTGCTGATTTTTTTTTTTCACTTTTGCTCAGTTAAAAATATTTTCTAATTTCCCTGAGACTTTCTCTTTGACTCATGAATTATTTAGAAGTACATTTCTTAATGTCTAAGTGTTTGAATATTACCCTGTTATTTTTCAGTTGTTGATTTCTAGTTTAATTCTGTAGGTTGATTTTAATTCTTTTAAATTTGTTAAGGATTGATTTATGGTGCAAGTACATCTGATATGGCTCATATGCACTTGAAAATAATGTGCCATAATTTTATTTTACTTATTTATTTATTTAAAAAATATTTTTTCTTTATTGATTTTTTTTTTACAGAGAGAGGAAGGGAGAGGGAGAGAGATGGAAACATCAATGAGAGAGAACATTGATTGGTCACCTCCTACATGCCCCCCACAGGGGATCGGGCCCACAACCTGGGCATGTGCCCTGACCAGGAATCAAACTGGTGACCGCTTGGTGCATGGGTCGATGCTCAACCAATGAGCCACCCTGGCCATGCCATTGTTTAATTTTTAGAGTCCTCAAATCATTGCTCCACACATTCTGCCCAGGTTTATAGCTGCATTCACTGAGAACGGCAGGATGGAGTTTGCTTACTTTATTTTACACAGAATCAGAGCCTCTTATATCACTTTGCTCAACCTTTTTTATTGATAAATACTGGATTCGGAAGTATTCTGCACAAGGAACCTTTTATGGGTCACATAAACTAGAAATTGGATGAAAAATTGATGATGAAAATAACTCTTGTTTTAAAATGAATGCTATCGCCCTGGCCGGCTCAGCGGTTAGAGCGTCGGCCTGCGGTCCTGAGAGACCCGGGTTCGGTTCCGCTAAGGGCGTGTACCTCAGTTGCAGTTTGTCCCCAGCCCTGGTCGGTTGTGCAGGTGGCAGCCACTCAATGTGTTCCTTTCACATCGATGTTTCTCTCTCTCTCTGTTCCTCTCTCTCCTTCCCACTCTACCTGAACAAAAAATGGAAAAATGTCCTCGGGTGAGGATAAAAAAAATAAAATAAAATAAAATGAATGCTATCTCCTTTTCCTGGGATAATTAATAATTTGGACTGTGTCCTTCAAAGACTTGTATGTCATAGGTGTGCAGAAGCTACTCACACTTTGTCAGTAAGTTAGAAAAGGGGAAACAAAGCATCTGGAGGGGTCAGGACTCAAGTACGTGGTGTGATGGCAGGGCTGACCTCGCACAGGGATGGCCTTCCAGGGTTAGTGCCTTGGTGTTAGTGGCTAAGGTTCAGCAGGCAGGTCATAGCAAAGGGCATCTGTTGACCAGGAATGAAGCAGGTGATAGCAGCATCATGGTTACTGGACGCTTGCAGGGCATGAGGGGCAGGTTTCTGGGAAAGAGTGCTGAAAAACACCAGGTTGGAGGTCCAAGCCCCAACGAGGCTCATGAACTTCTAAGAAGAGGGGTGACCTGAGTATGGAACTATATGTGGAATCAGGAACCTAAGGGAGAAACTCAGGCCTGTGGACCTATGAAATGCTGCTGCGCAGAAGGAAGGCTGAGTAAAAGGTTAGTCAGAAGAATTACTCTCCTTGGGGAAGCAAATCTAGTTTTAGCCTGTTACCTGCTGGTCCAGTGAGAGAATCCAATGGTCAGGGCCAACTCAGAGATAAGGAGATCCTGAAGCTTACTGAGCCTAGAGAAAATAGAAAGCTTCATATGCAGGGGTCAATGTTAAAGCTCTGAGCACATGTTAACAACCATTATTAACGTTGTTTATTACAAAGATCTAAGTACTCACCTGAAACTTCTCACTCGGTGATATAGGCATCCAAGTTGATGTTTTGGGAAACAATGGCATTAAATATGATGGACATACCAATACCTCAGAAAGTAAGTATGAACATGATCATATAGTAAATAAAATGGATAATGCAGGAGAGACTGATGAGAAGGTTATTACATAAATGTTTCAATTGTCTGAAGCAAGGGCAGAATCTGTTAAACCCCATCACAGTAATCTAAAGCTAGGTTGTAATTCAGACCATGAGAAACCATGTATCATTAGGCAGGTTCTTTTGCTTTCTGACAGTTTCTTCATCTCTGCAAATACCCAGTGCTCCCTCCCCCAAAGACACAAGAATGAAAAGTGTATTACTCGGTTGGTTAGAGCATCATCCTGATAGGCCAAGGCTGCAGGTTTGATTTCCAGTCAGGGCACATACAAGAAGCAGCCAATGAATACATACATAAGTGGAAGAACAAATTGATATTTCTCTCTCTCTCTCTCTCTCCCTCTCTCTCTCTCTCTCTCTCTTTCTCTCTCAAACTCAGTAAATATTTTCTATTTTTAAAAAAATGCATATTACTAGTCACAATACTACAATTCTGAGACAGACTGTAAGATGATGTTAAATGAACCTGCCTCCTTGGAGAGGTCTCAGACCAGTCACCTGCCTCTCAGTAACCTTGCTACTTTTAGTCTGTCAAAAGCAGCCTACACAATAACATTTTATCTCAGTCTGCTTTATTCTAATTCATCACAGGGCAGAACTGACCCTGAATTTGTCTTTGCTTACAAGTTATCATTCGATTAGCTTTACCTTGGTGACCTGACTCCTTGCTAGCTGTGGCATGATCCGGTTACTCAGGAGAATATCAATTAAGGTCCTCAATCACCCTAATTAGAATGTCTTCTAAGTGTTGCTTTAGGAATAGTATTAGGGCTGAAAGCACTGTGCCCTGAATCTGAAATGAAATATCTAGTTGCTTTTCACTGACAAGGATTAATGCAGAATTATTAATTTTATTAATGACTTGGATGAGGACATAGGCGGCATGCTGATCTAGTATACAGATGACACAAAGCTGGGAGGATAACAATTACTGTGATGACAGACTCAGGAGCCAAAATGATTTCGAGACAGAATTTAGTGGCAATCCATCCAATACGTGCCTGGAAGAAGGATCTCCTTAAGGCAGAACTTGATGATAATATCACTCCTCCAATCAGAACCTTCAGTGATGTCCCTATTTGCTGTTAAAATTAAATCCCAAGTTCTTAACCTGCTACTCAAGGCCTTGTTATATTGTTATCCTGACTCTTTCTGCTTTCCAACAAAATCTTCTATATAGTTTTTTCCCTAATACCCTGTGCTTGAGCCAAACTGAATTATTTATAGACTATTTCTTATTTATGGTCCATGCTTTCCATAGCTTTGAGCATTATTCTCCCCTGAGCTTCTTTTCCCCACACTTTCCTTCTGCCTCACTTTGAAATTTCCAAACCCGTTCTTGCCAGTTCAGAAGCTACCGCTTACATTTAGACTTTTTTGATTGCCTTAGCTAGGGTGATCTCTGTCTTTTGCTAATCTTCAATAACATTTATCTGTTTCTCTCTGCCTATTTTATCGCTGTTTACTCTGTACTGCAGTTATTTTTGTACACATTTTAAAGCTCTGCTAAACTCTGCCTGGTGCTAGAACGTCTGTCTGATAAATCTGTAAATATCCTATAGAGTCTCCGCGTGGGTTGTTCATAGCTGATGGCACTGAAGTGGTTTGCATGTGGTTTATCTCTTCTAAGGGGAGAAGGGCCCTAAGAGGAGCCCTACATCTAACTTGCCAGAGGCCCCTACAGTTATATCACAGAGACTTAGAGTTAAAAACAGAAGGTCTCCAGTACATGTCTTATTGAATAAATGAATGACTGATGGAGAGAAGAGTTCCCTAATGTAATGTTATAAGAATGGGAAGGGAATGGTGACGATAAGAAAGAGACATTTAATCTCTGTGATAGAACAGTTGTTTAAGATGTAATCAACTCACCTATGATTTGTGTATAGAAATGCTAAAGGAGGAAGCATGATATTTACCAGAAATTTCTGATGATGTGTGGTCAGGAGAGGTGTCAGGGGTTAGAAACTTGCATTGCCCATTATTATTATTATTATTTATTTATTTTTAATATTTTTTCTTTATTGATTTGAGAGAGAGATAAACGGAGAGAGAGAGAGAGAAACATGATGAGAGAGAACATTGGCTGCCTCCTGCATGCCCCCCACTGGGGATTGGGCCCACATCTGGGCATGTACCCTGACTGGGACTCGAACTGGTGACCTCTTTCTGCACAGGTCAATGCTCAACCAGTGAGCCACACAAGCTGGGCATTGCATTGCCCTTTAAAATGACCACAAACATTGGCTTGCTTGGACAGTATCAGTTTATACCTATTGTTTCAGTATAACGCTCTTAAAATGGCCCCATTTAAATCTCCCTATTCATCAAACAGCTCTTCGACCTTTTAAGATTGATGGGTCCCTGTGGTTGTAAAACTTATGGCACAGGCTAATGTTTGAGATAATAATAGACTTGTAGTTAGCAAGATATGGGTATAAAACTCATCTCTGTCACTTACTAGAAATATGATCTGGACAAGTTTCCAAGACCTCTGTAAGCAGCCTTATATATATGGCTGTTGTGTTCGAAAGGGGAGCCAGAGATCTTGAGTATGAAACTTTCAGTAATGTAAAGGTTTCAGTATTTATAATCCTGGAGAGTTATTTTCAGGGGCCAGATATGTCTAGGGTAGTAGGGAGAGAAATATTTCACGGAGTTGTTAAATCTCCAGGCCTTCTGCATTAAAGATCACACAACTAGAAGCAGGGGCATGGCTCTTGCTGGTTGACTGTTTCAGCTGGTTATCAATAGGAAGGCTCAAGATCACAGAAATGGGATTCAAGCCTCCTCATTTGTCTCTTCCAGTGAGCAGAGGAGAGCGGATGGTCAGGGCATGCGGTTTATGTATTGCCCTCCACTATCAATTCAGAGTGTGGGGGACTGCCACCCTAGTCGGAATGCAGGGTTTCTAGGTTTTCTCTGCATCCTGAAGAGGGAAAAAGTGCCTGGATTATAAAATATTTCCAGCTGGGAACAGACCAAAGGAATGTGGAGAAGGGTAAGAAGATCCAACTTTTGTGCCAGAATGCGATTCGGATGAAAAAACCCAGAGTTGTTTTTAAGTAGTCAGTGATAGCTCAGTGACTGAGAAATGGCCTAGAGCCAGGATGCTGGAATTTGATCATTGTGCCACCACTTTCTACCCAGAGGGTCTTGGATATGTTATTTAAACTTGTCCCAGTTTCCGTATCTGTAACATAGGGATTTTTTAAAAGCCTGTCTTATTGGTTAGTTCTGACATTTGAATTTGGTAATATTGTAAAGTTGTTAGAATAGTGCCTGGTCAGTAGTCAGCATGCTTATGCACTAAATATTGTTTAAGCACTGAGAGTAATAAGCACTTTCCCTTACCTTTGTGTTCAGGTAGACAAGATGGGACTTCTGTGGTGTGTGATGAGTCTCTACTTCTATGGGATCCTGCACAGTGATGCCTCAGGTAAGCGAATGGCTTTTGATCATCTATTGGGATGTGTGTTATGCACAGAGTAGTGTCTCAAGTCTTTCTGAACATGAGTTAAGAGAACATAATGTTGTTTATTTCCATCATCTTCTGTGGTAGCACGGACTCATAAATTTGACAGCATCAGAGAATTTCGATGGCGGGAGGAACCATGGACATCTCCAGTCTTCACAGGCACAGTGCCATTAGGGTAGTGGTCTGGTGTGTGAAAGTCCAGGACTTTGCCATCACCTTCACCTCCAAGCCGACTAGGACCCTGCTTCTCTTCCTTACCTCGGGTGCTGTGGGAAAAGAAATGGCAGTCATGCCAGCCCAGGTTTCCGAACTTGAGCCGGCGGCGGAGAAGGCCTTGGTGGTAACCACCCCCTGAGACCTTGTAAAAACAAATACACAATGACATGGTTCTGTCACACGGCTTCTGCATAGGAAAGAGAGGCCTGTCACTAGGCCCGTTCTTTCTTTGGGTGTTGCTTCAGAAGAGGAGCCGGCAGAGCCTTTCTTGAGTTTGAATAACCAAACTCAACCATCATGAACCTGGATTAAATGAAATCAGAGTTATAAGGGACTTGAAAATTTATTTGTTTAGGTCTCCTCATCTCTAGAAGTACTTTCAGAACCATTTTCTGGTACTTCTAACTAGTGATTATCTATTTCGCAACCCATTACATCTCTGGACTGACCAAATTTTAGAAAGATTTTAGTACATATAACTGAAATTTGTGACATTCTCATAGGTTTCTTTAGTTCAACTTCTTGAATTAAATAGAAAATACATCATCCATTGGTTTTCTAATTTGTTTTTTTATCGTCACCCAAGGACATTTTTGCATTTATCTTCAGATAGAGCTGGAGGGAGAGAGGGAGAAAGAGAGAGAGAGAAACATCGATGTGAGAGAGATACATCAACTGGTTGCCACCCAAAGGGGGCCGGGAACGAACTGCAACCGAGGTACATGCCTTTAGGGGGATCCGAACCCGGAACTCTCTGGTCTGCAGGCCGACGCTCTAACTGCTGAGCCAAACTGGTCAGGGCGATTTTCTAATATTTTTATTGTTATTTTTGTGGCTTTCTAATTTTAATGCGAAGAACCTAGATGTGTGTGTGTGTGTGTGTGTGTGTGTGTGTGTGTGTGTTTTACTTTTTTATGTTGACAATATTACAGATGTCTCCCATTTTCTCCCTTTTTGCCTCCTTCCACCCAAACCTTGCCCCACCCCGGGTTTTCCCCATACTATTGTCTGTATCCATGGGTTATGCATGTATACCTATACGTTCTTTGGGTAATCTCTTTCTTTTCCCTCACCCGCAATGAGATCTGTAGATATCTTAATTTCAAAGAAAGCTTTTCATGTATAATTCCCCTGAAGATCATGGCCATACTTTGAACATCATTGCTTTATTTCTTCTTCTATGTGAGAGGCCTTCAGAAATGTTAACACAGTGACCATATAACTATGACCATGCTCTCTAATACAGGGCAGGGCAAAAGGAGGCTTACAGTTGTTTGTATGGAAAATAATGCAATAATTAATAGATGATAATACAAGAATTAACTCTTTCTTATACTCACAACTGGAAACTTACATCTGCCCCACCCCCTGTATGCTTTTTAAAAAATTAATTAATTTATTTTTGTTACAGATGTTTCACCTTTTTCCCTCACTGATCCCCCACCCCCCCCCACCCCCCCGTCCCCAGCTTTGTTGTCTATGTCCATTGCTCATGCATACTTGCATAGAAGTTCTGTGGTTTATCACTGCCCTCTACTCCCTGTTCTGGGGATTGTCAGCCTATACCCCACTTCCACATCTCTGGGACTATCCCCTTCCTCAGACTGTTATGTTCATTATATTCCACAAATAAGTGAGATCATATGATATTGTCTTTCTCTGTTTGGCTTGTTTTGCTCAGGATAATACTTTCCCTCCATGTGGTCTCAGAGGATAAGAGATTTTTCTTTTTTACAGCTGCATAGTACTCCATTGTGTACATGTACCACTGATTTTTTATCCATTCATCTACTGATGGACATTTGGGCTGTTTCCAGATCTTAGCTATTATAAATAGTGCTGCTACGAACATGGGGGTACATATATTTTTTCTGATTGGTGTTTCAGGCTTTTTATTTAGGGTATAGTCCTAGAAGTGGGATCACTGGGTCAAATGGAAGTTCAATTTTTAATTTTTTTAGATAACATCATATTGTTTTCCATAGTTGCTGTACCAGTCTACATTCCCACCAGCAGTGTACTAGAGTCCCCTTTTCTCCTTACCCTTGCCAACACCTGTTGTTTGATGATTTGTTGATGGCGACCATTAAGACAGGTGTGAGGTGATACCTCATTGTTGTTTGAATTTGCCTCTCTCTGATGATTAGTGATGTTGAGCATTTCTTCATATGTCCCTTAGCCATTTCTATGTCCTGTTTGGAGAGGTGTCTATTTAGTTCCTCTGCCCATTATTTAATTGGGTTCTTTGTCTTCCTTTTGTTGAGTTGTATGAACACTGTATATGTTGGAAATTAACCCCTTATCTGATGTATTGTTGGCAATTATGCTCTCCCATAGAGTAGTTTGCCTTTCCATTTTGGTGGTTGTTTCTTTTGCTGTGCAGAAGCTTTTGAGATTGATGTAGTCCCATGTGTTCATTTTCGCCTTTGTTTCTGTTGCCTTAGGTGATGTATCAGTGAAAATTCTGCTGCGTATGATGTCTGACATTTTGTTGCCTACATTTTCTTCTAGGATTTTATGAATTCATGAGTCACATTTAAGTCTTTTATCCTTTTTGAGTTTATTCTTGTGTATGGTGTAAGTTGGTGGTCTAGTTTCATTTTTCTGCATGTAGCTATCCAATTTTCCCAACATCATTTATTAAAGAGGCTGTCTTTACTCCACTGTATGCTCTTGCTACCTTTGTCAAATGGTAATTGAGCATATTGCCTTGGGTCCATTTCTTGGTTTTCTGTTCTGTTCCACTGGTCTATATGCCTGTTCTTGTGCAAGTACCAGGCTGTTTTGATTACAGTGGATTTGTAGTATAATCTGAAATCTGGTAATGTGATCCCTCCTACTTTGTTCTTCTTTTTCAAGATTGTTGTGGCTATTCCAGGTCTTTTTTGGTTCCATATGAACTTTTGAAGTATTTGTCTCAGTTCTGTGAAGTATGTCGTTGGTATTTTGATGGGGATTGCATTGAATCTATAGATTGCTTTTGGTGGTATGGACATTTTAATGATGTTAATTCTTCCAATCCATGAACAAGGTATGTGTTTCCACTTTTTTATATCTTCCTCTATTTTTTTTTTCAATGATATGTACTTTTCTGCGAATACATCCTTTATTTCTTTGGTTAAGTTCATTCCTAGGTATCCTAATTTTTTTGCTGCGATGGTAAATGGGATTGTTTTTTTAGTTTCTCTTTCTGTGAGTTCATCATTGGTGTATAAGCATGTCATCGATTTCTTGATGTTAATTTTGTATCCTGCTACTTTTCCAAATTCATTTATTAAGTCTAGTAAATTTTTGATGGAGTCTTTGGTGTTCTCTATGTATAGTATCATGTCATCTGCAAATAATGACAGCTTCACTTCCTCCTTTCCAATTTGGATTCCTTTTATTTTTTCTTTCTGTCTGATTGCTGTGGCTAAGACTTCCAGTACTATGTTAAATAAGAGTGGCAAAAGTGGGTATCCTTGTCGTGTTCCAGTTCTTTAGGGAAATACTTTTAGTTTTTGCCCATTGAGTATGATGTTGGCTGTTGGTTTTTCATATATGGCCTTTATTATGTCAAGATATATTCCCTCTATTCCCAGATTGCTGAGAGTTTTTATCAGAAATGGATGCTGGATTTTGTCGAATGCTTTTTTAGCATCTATTGATATGATCATATGATTTTTATCTTTCATTTTGTTTATGTGGTGTATCACATTATTGATTTGCAAATATTGTACCAGTCTTGCATCCCTGGGATGAATCCCACTTGGTCATGGTGAATAAATTTTTTGATGTATTGCTGGATTTGATTTGCTAGTATTTTGTTCAGGATTTTGGCATCTGTGTTCATCAGGGATATTGGCCTATAGTTTTCTTTCTTTGTAGTGTCTTTTTCTGGTTTTGGAATTAGAATAATGCTGGCCTCATAAAACAAGTTTGGAAGTCTTCCTTCTTCTTGAATTTTTTGAAATAGTTTGCTGGGTTTTTGTTTACTGGGAGAGTCTTGATTACATCTTCAATTTCTTTTGTTGTTATTGGTCTGTTCAAGTTTTCTCTCTCTTCCTGGTTCAGTTTTGGGGGACTATGTGTTTCTAGAAATTTGTCCATTTTGCTTAGATTTTCGAATTGTTGGCATATAAAAGTTCATAATATTTGTTAATGATCCTTTGTATTTCTGTGGTGTCAGTTATTATTTCTACCCTTTCCTTTCTGATTTTGTTTAGTTGGGTTCTCTCTTTTTGTTTCTTGGTGAGTCTAGCTAAAGGTCCCTCAATCTTGTTTATTATTTCAAAGATCCAGCTCTTTGTTTCATTGATCCTTTGAATTGTTTTTTTTTTGGTCTCCATGTCATTTATTTCTCCTCTGATCTTTACCATTTCCTTTCTTCTACTTGCTCTGGGGTTTTCTTTTTGTTTGCTCTCTTGTTCTTTAAGTTATGAGGTTAGATAGTCTATTAGAAATTTTTCTTGTTTCTTGAGGTAGGCCTGTAGTGCTATGAACTTCCCTCTCAGAACTGCTTTCTCTGCATCCCATAGATTTTGTGTTGTTGTATGTTCATTTTCATTGGTTTCCAGTAAGTTTTTAATTTCTTCCTTGATCTCCATGGTATCCAATTCATTATTCAATAACATGCTATTTAGCCTCCATGTTTTCAAATGTCTTTGCATGTTCTTGTTGCAATTGATTTCTAATTGCATGCCATTGTGATCTGAGAAGATGCTTGATATCATTTCAGTCTTCTTGAACTTGTAGAGACTTAGTTT